AAACCAGAAGATAAAGGAGTAAAAGAGGAAGCTCAAAACACATTGGTAGTGTCTCATTTCTTTCTTCTTCTTCTTCTTTTTTTTTTTTTTAGATTTTTGCCATAAGGTATGTGCACTTGCAGGAAAGACACAGCAAGAGGGAAAGTGAGAAATCACCTACCACTCCATCCCGCCCCCCTCCCCCACCCCGGAGGATGGCCTTACTACAATCCCTTCTCCTCCATTCTCTTCAGGATTTTAGGCATACATGTGTGTGTGCCCGGAGTTATCTCCTAGCTGCCAGGTCCAGGATTTGAACTGTGGTTGGCCATGTGGGAATCTAGCACTGTAACTTGTACTCCATCTGCTGCCACTTCACTTATTCTTTTGTCTGAATAAAATACCTTGTATACAAAGATATGAAGCAAAAACAAAAGGAAATAGACTGAAAACTTAGGTCATGACCACTGAAATTGGTACAGCTCTGACTAAAGCAAACAAAATATTCTGGAGGTAGATTATCATAATCTAGAATTTAAAGTATTTTTACAAAAGAGAACCCTACTGAAGAGGAACTATGAACAAAAATTTACAATTCATAACAGGAAATAAAACACCATGACAGAGAGTTTGTTTATACAACAAAAGAGAACTAGTAACCCCCAAACAGAACATAATAGAATCATTTAAAAGTAAGTATGTCTAAAATAACTGATGAGGCGAGAGCAGATAAAGAAACCACAATAAGAAAATAAGGTAGTTTAACATAAAAGAAAGCATATTTGTAAAAGAACCAAGTAAGTTTTCCAAAAACAAAAAAATATAGTCATTGGAATGAAAAATCAATACAGACATTGAACAGTGAATTAGCAATGGTTAGGAAAGAATTAAGGGATTAAAACAAAGATTTGAGGAAATCATCCAGAATAAAATACAGAAAGATGAAGAAGCACCAATCACACAAATGTTGTTGAGGCATGGATGATAGAATGAGAAATTCCAACAAATGCCTAAATTAGAACTTCAGAAGTAAAGAAGAAAAGGAAGGAGAGGCTAAAAATGTACAAACCAAAGACTTCAGGTAAAGAAAGCATATTTACTTCTAAGCAGAATAAACAACACTAAACTGTAATACTCTCTACAATACATAATTCTCTCTACATCTTCCAGAAAATAAAAGAAGAAATGCTTACCTCCTAAATTTGCCCTAACACCATGGCCAGAAAAGACATAAAAGAACATTTCAGAACATTATCTCCCATGAACATAAAATACAAAATCTTCAAAAAAAATACTAGCAAATCGAGCCTAGAAACTTATAGAAAGGAAAACATGACATGATCAAATGTCATTTATCCATGAAATTAAAAGAAGTTCAATGTCTAAAAATCAGTTATTGTAATATACCATATTCATAATGAAGGAAAACTTATAATCATCTCAGTAAATGGACAAAAACATGTGAGAAACTGCAACACACTAATGATACAAAATCTAAGCAAATTAGGAATCAAACTTCCTTAACTTGGTAAAGGGCATCCATGAAAATACACAGCTGACTTCATAGTCACTGGGGAAGTATTAAATGCTATCTCTCAGATAATTGCAAATATGGCAAGGATTTCTGTTTTCACCACTCCAGTTGATTATTGTAGTGGTGGTCTTAGCTAGTGCAATACTACTAGAAAAGAAAGTCATACAGATTAGAAATGAAGGAATGAAACTGCCTCTATTTACAGTTTCACATATAGATTTTGAATGGGACTGCCTATATATTCATATTCAGTGTGATTAGTGAATTTATTGCGTTTATTGATATTGCATAATAATAACAGAAATAATAAGATATATCACCCTTTAAATAGTTTATAATTTAGAAAGTTAACAAATTCCTATACCTTCCCTCATGAAAACTGAATTACACAATCTTTTATTTTGATTATCTTCTTAAAACCCTCTCTTGCCCTCTGCTGTCCATTCGTTGAACATATATCATTACATGAAATAAAATATTCATTGGCATTTAGATGGTAAGAAAGTCTCCTCCCATTTGATTATTTGAGTCAGATGCAAACAATAAGTGCCAAGAAATGCTTTAACATTTTTTATTATAGAGGTAACATAGGTTCACTACTGATAATACATTAAAAATGAAGTAATCAGTTGTTTTACTGCTTCAAAATAACCCCCATTATTAAGTGGTGTATATCCTTTTGGAATGTAATTATTTCTATGCAAGATAAGTTTATATTAAATTAATAATTATATTACAAAATTGGAATCATATGCTGCATGCAGTTTAGTATTTACTCTTCATTGAACATTCTATTATGGAACATCTCCCATATCATTGACTTATCTTCCAAATATAGTTTTTGAATTGTTACATAATATTCCAGATGTATAATAATGTAAATAATAACCTCTTACTTGGGTGCATTTAAATTGATGCAATAATTTACCATTATAAGCAACTTTATAAAATAAAATTCCTTGAACTTCCTAATTTGGTGCTTACATGCCCAAAAACACAATTTCTGGGTCACAGATACACATAATTTTAAGGCTTTTTACATTCACTGCTTCACTGAACTCAGAAAAGTTTTAATTAATTTATACTCCTACAAGAAGCATATGCTCATGACCACAGGAGCAGTTTTTTAAAACTGGAGATGTAAAAATATATTACAAATCAGTGAATGTTTACAATGATTTATAAGAGAAAAAGATACATATGATTCTCTATGAGGTATGTGGTTTGTTTGTTTGTTTGTTTATTTATTGCAGTCAGGAAAATAGAAAGTCTTTTTGGTAGAGTACCAAGAGGGCCAGACTTCCCAACTGCTTATTATTAATGTTTCTGAATTTGTTTTCTCAACTGCAATGTGAAGAGAAAAATAATTGCCCTGCTCAATAGATTGTGTTGTATGCAAACACGAAAATTTTGTCATGTAGACAGAAGTTCCAACTTTCATTAATCACTTAACATATGGACAGATTTCACATTCACTAGGTTTTTTAAAAAATTATCAATATCTTTTAAATATTATGATAAATATTAATACCAATAGTTTTCTCCATTTTTAACCTCACATGATCAGGAGAATAATTTTCAGTCAGTTTTATATAGTTTTGCTTTTTTGAAAATAGTAAAATAATGATTATAGCACACAGACAATTATGGCTCAGCTGCCAATTCCATTAACTTTGTCTCAGAAAAAGAAAAATTATCACAGAAACAAACTTATTCATTAGGGATTCATTTTAAACCTAAAAATACCTAGCCCTTCTATAGGAAATTAATTTTCATTCTCAACTTGCTTGAACCAGTGACTTTTCCAAATTTCTTTTCAAAGTTATCCCTGTAGGTTTTCACGAAGATATCAACAGTTTGAAGATAAGCCCCTGTAGGTATTCACGAAGATATCAACAGTTTGAAGATAAGCCTGAATAATTATGACCACACTAAGTATGAAACCAAGGGCAGAATCAGTATTCATTCAGCAGGCCCTTGTTGAACCTATTGTAAAACTAGTTCTTAATAAGAGCCTTCACTAAAGGAAGAAGAATAAAGAGGGAAGGAGGAAGGGGCCAGCAGGTGGCATGGTGGTTGGGGCCACTGGACTCCCGCACAGCTGACTGCAGTTCCAGTTATGGACTTGGTGGCCTGCTTTCTCACTTTCTCTCTCTCTCTCTCACTCTGTCTCCCTCTGGTCAAATTAAATAATAATAATAAGGTTAAATAAAATAATTCTCTAAAAAAAGGGAGGAAGAACTAGGACAGAAAGGAGGAAAGGATAACTTAAGAAAACACCAAGTGTTTTATTTTTTTAAAAAAATTTTTAAATGTTATCTTATTCATTGTCATTTTTTTTGAAGTTGACCAGAGAGAGAGAGAAAGTGAGAGAGCAAGCTGACAAGTCCAGGACTACTCCCTATGGTCAGCCATAGGGAAATCCAGCCACCTTAACCACCACACCACGTGCCGGCCCCAACACCAAGTGTTTTAAAAAGAAATAGCTAGTAAAAATAAGTAACTTGGGTCCATGAGAACTTTGACCCAGTTGATCTTTCTATCACTAAACCTCCCAGGAATTCTGGAATTCAGGAATTCTGGTCATTACATTTGGGCAAGGCATTCTGTTTTGAATTTTTGAAGGTATTCAGGCATTTTATTAAACATCATTGTCTGCAGGTGTCTTGAAGGTATTCAGACATTTTATTAAACATCATTGTCTGCAGGTGTCTGGGTTAAAGAATTTAGGGAATAATTTGTAGGAGGGAGTAAGGGCAGAGAAAAGGGGAGAAAGACTAGGTAGAAAAAGAGGAAATAATTTTTTCATTGTTTTTATTGTCCATAGAATAATAAAATATAAAAGGTAAAAGAAACCTTATAGAGTCATTAATTACAGTCCCCCTTCATCTTAAAACTGAAGGGAAAAAAAATTGACACAAACCAGTGGCAAAGCTAGGAAAATAATCTGATCCCCAATTCCCATGTTCTTTCCACAACACTATATTCAATATGTTTTTGTATCTTATTTTAGCCAAATTAAGGATCAATTACAGTCAAAGATACCAATGCTGCTTTCAAAATAAGTTTTAATCTCTCATTTTTCTTGATAGCTTGGAATTAATGCTATCCCTAAAATAAAAATACCGTTCTTTGCATTGAAATTTTGTAGACTACGCACCCCAACTCCATCCATTTGGTCCTCACTTAAACCTTCAGAGGCAAGGCAAGGAAGGTATGGTTGTCTTCATTTTACTAGCGAGCAAAGACGTCTAATGACTTATCTACGGTCACTCTGGAATAGGCCAGGACTCTAGTGCTATTCCTATACTTGCTACTGAAGAGGAAGTTCCCTTAAGGAACATCAATTTGGCTCTTCATTCTCTTGAAAAGGATTCTCCATTTCCATCAGACTCCGCACTCGTTTAATAAAGTTTGAGTCTAGCCATTAAGATAGAGTACACCTAGTTTGCACCAATATCTCATTTTTAAAAGCGCAATTTCTTACCCTTTCCCTTGGTCCTGATCCTTACTTAGGCGACTATTTTTCTGTGGGTTTCCCAAAAACCACCCTCTCCAAACAAGAAGTCGCGTCCTCGGTAGTCAAGGTAACCGCTCAGCTTTACCAATCTACTTCGTCCATGCATTCTATTGGTCAGTTGGATTCCATGTACATTTTCCTAGCCCTCAACTGACCAATGGGCTTGAGGCAAAGGGCGCTCCTTGCGTCCTAACATCTGCTCTGATTATCCTCCCACTCACGCATTGCCTTCTGGGATATGTAGTTTCCTAGATCGCTAGAACCTTCTGAGGACTGGCTCCTGTAAAACTATCTATCCCGTCGGCCTTCGCGAAAGGGGCGGGATAGGCTGGGAGCCCGGGTCAGAGTTGACATTCAGAGCTTTGAATTTCCCCCTTGTGACTGGAGTTTGTGTTTCTGTGGCTGAAGCAGTCCTTGTTTTAGAGACCCTGGCAGACGCATGCTTTGTGACTTAGGGCCGCGCAGGAACCAAGTCGACTGGCCGTGGCAAGTGACTGTCCCTGTGGCTGAGGTGTGCTGAGGGAGGGCCAGGGCGGCGCGACATGTTCGCCCAGGGCTCGGGCTGGGGGCTTGGCTGCTTCCGATTCGGTCGGTTCCGAGTGTGGGCCGGCGCTGGATCCTGGGTTTGTCGGGCTGGTAGCCAGGTCAGGCCGTACGGGTCAGGTGCGGGCGATCGCCAACCGGGATCGGAGCCTGAGGACCCTCCTCCTGGTCCGGCGCTCCGGACTCTGAAGGACTGGACGATGCTGGTGAGCCCGTTCGGTCGGCTGCGGGCGCGGCTCCCGTGTCACCTGGCCGTGAGGCTCCTGGACCCTCTCACCTACCCAGATGGCGACCGCGTGCTGGTCGCGGTGTACGGCGTGGAGGGCCGGGCGCGAGGCCTAGACGGCCTGCAGGTGAAGTACGACGAGGCACTGAAGGAGGTGACCATCGCTTCTGACACCATCGACCCCCAAGCGTCCGTGGAGGTGAACGCGCCCCTGAAGTTTGGCAAGTGAAGTGGAGTTAAAGCGGGTTTGGGTCTCAGAGCACGCATAGCAGACTTCTTCAGTTAGGCCAAAGTGGACGTGGACTTTTGGTTGGTCTCTTTGGACCAGAGATTCTAACCTTGTTTGCTGTTGGCCCTTTTCGAAGCTCCTGCTGCTGTTCTACTCTGAGATTTCAGTAGTATTTAAGAATTAGGTTCCTGGTTACGGAATTTTTATAAAGGGAAGGACAACATGATTTAGGATAATCCAAGACAAATGACATTTGTGGAAGTTTTTATGGTCTACTTAATCACTTCCTTGTTAGTAAACTGGTTTATTTTTCAGGTTTCTTGATCAATTGTTTCACCGCTATGGCAGTCCATCTGCATTTCCTGTTGCTCACAAGTGGGTCTCTGTCCACAAACAGCCCTGTCTGTAGGAGTTTCCATAGCTAATCTGCACCAGGAATTTAATTTCACCTAGGCACCCAGCTCCTTACTGATGTGGTTCTGTTCTTTTTAGCTGAAGGAATATTTCCAGAAGTAGCAACCTTTGATGAAAAACAGATAGTAAGACTGTAGGGCTCTCATTCTTCCTGGGCCTGAAGGATAATATTGATATATTGATGATGAGCATAATAATAGCATTCTGTATTTCTAAGATAGTCTTTTTTTCTTTTTTTGAGGATCTTTGCTATAGGACACATGTGCTCACTGGAGAGACAAGAGACAGAAAGTAAGAAATTACCCCCAGTGGGGATGGCTGAGAGGCAAACCCTTCTCCTCCATTTTCCTTTAAGGATTTTGGGCACACACACACATTCATACCTGGCATGAGTTTCAGGTTGCTGGGTCCGGAACTGGAATAGCAGTAGACCATGTGGAAGTCCAGCACCTTAACCACTAGGCTACCTGCTAGTCCCAGATAATCTTACAGTTGCACTATAAAGTAGATAAAGTTATTGTCACCAGTTCAGATGTGGCAACAGATAAAGGAAATTTCATGAAATAAATATAATATTTATTTGGATAAACAAATAGAAAAAAAATCCATGACTTTATGAAACATACATTCTATTAAGGATAGATAGAGAAATGTATTGGGACCAGCAGTTAGTGTAATGGCTATGTCGCTGGACTCCCATGTAGTCGATCGCATTTCGAGCCCTGGACCTGGTGGCTTAAAACTCACGCCGGGCACGTGTGTGTGCGTGCCCAAAATCCTGAGAGGAGAATGTAGGAGAAGAGATTGCAGCGTGGCCATCCCTCCTGGGGGGTGATTTCTTGCTTTCGGTCTCTCTGTCTGGCGAGCGCAAGCACCCTATAGCGAAAACCTCTCCAAAAAAAAAAGAGAAATGTATCGACTCTTTTTTAAATGTGTATTTCTTCCAATTGAGAGAGAGAGAAATTGAAAGGCACCCCTAACAGGCTTTTACACTGTGATCTATCCCAGCATTAGGATCACAGGCATAGTTTACTTGCTGGTCTGTACAAGAAGACCTCTGAATGTGAACTGCAGACCTTCCTATGTGGTTTTAGCATTTTGGAGCCTTGTGCTACTACTGCACCACCTTCACTGGCCACCTGTTCTCTCGACAGAAAATGGTGGAATTGGGGTTTAAACTGAATGGAGTCCGCTCAACCACTGTGTTTTATTGCTTCTCAGCTTTTTTTTTTTTTAAAAGAGGTTTTTGCCATAGGGCACATGCACTTGCAGGAGAGAGAGAGACAGACAGTGAGAGGGAAAATGAGAAGCCCTTCCCCCACCTCCAGGGGAATGGCCACCTCACAATCCCTTCTCCTCCATTCTCCTCTCCTGATCTTGGGCACACATGTACACACACCTGGTGTGAGTTTCAGGTCACTGGGTCCAGAACTTGAACTCCGGTCAGCCATGCAGGGTCCAGTGATATAACCATTACACCATCGGCTGCCCTGATTCTCAACTTCTTTTAGTGAGCCCATGTGAATAAAAGCCTGACTGGGTAGGAGAAGAAGATTTGCCAATAATACAAAATAGACTGAGCTTTGAAATAGAGCTAAACATAGTTTATGAAAGCAAAGACGAAAATCCTGCTCTTGTTGGTGATTTGAAATCTCACTATTTGTTGCTTCTTTTTAGAGCTAAAACCCATACTTCCGATTTAGTGTTTCCATGATTACATTCTATGGGTCCCTCAAATCAACATAATTCAGTTTTCTTCAGACATGTTCCTCTGGTTTGTCTGTTACCTGTTGCGCTGAATGGGTGAGAGTAGCAAAACCACCACTCAGTATCTAGCCTTAACTTCCTACCTATAACCTCTATTGTGAGAGTAAAGTATTTCTTTCTCTCCATTTCTGTCAGTGCCGCCTTAGATCATGCCATATGTTGTTACACTAATTAATTGGGTAATACATTTTGTAGTTATATTTACAACCATCTATATAGGGTAAAATTCTTCAAAATATTTCTGTTATTTTAAAACTTTATATAGAATGCCATGGTACAACTGTGAAAATTGCCTTCAGGCTATAACTATTGAAACTGAGGCCTTAGTCCCCAATAGTTTGTATTTGGGGCAACATGGCATTTATTTCTCTTAATAGTTTAAGGTAAATTGGTGGTTTTTTTTTTTTTTTTTTTTTTTTTCCCAGTATTTCTTTTCTTCTTTTTTTTTATTTTTTGGAGAGGTTTTCACTACAGGGCATGTACATTTGCCAGAAAGACAGAGAGAGACAGATAGAAAGTGAGAAATCATCCCCAAGGGGGAATGGCCATGCCATAATCCCTTCTTTTCCATTCTCCTCTCGGGATCTTGGGCATACATGCACACATGCCAGGTATGAGTTTAAGCTGTCAGGTCTGGGACTTGAACTGGGGTCAACTACGTGGGAGTCCAGTGATGTAACCATTACGTCATCTGCTGGTCCCAATCAGTGCTTTTTAATTCTTGCTTTTCTTTTTAGAGAGAGATTTTTGCTACAGGGTGTGTGCACTTGCTGGAGAGACAGAAATACAAAGAGATAGAAAGCGAGAAATCACCCTCCAAAAGGCATGGTCATGCTGCAGTCCCTTCTTGTCCGTTCTCCTCTCAGGATCTTGGGCATATACACACACATGCCTGGCATGAGTTTTAAGTCACTGGGTCCAGGACTTGAACCGTAGTCAACTATGTGGGAATCTGTGATATAACCATTATGCAATCTGCTGGTCCCCAGTGCTTTTTAAGTTATATTTTTATACAGAGATACTTGAGATTACACTTTAAATTAATAACCAATTCCTTGGTTTCCAAACTTCTAATATCACTGTTATTTATCTACAGTCTTGTAATTTAATGCTATTTAATATTATGTTTTTCAAAGTTAGTCCCACTATTTTTAGTTATTTTAAATACCTTGTTATTTAGTTGCATTTTAATTCTCATTTTCCAGCTATGAAACATTTGAGGTATAATTTAAAATCTAGCAGGATCCACTGCTACTCCACAGTATGCTCTTAATTTTGGATAGGTTTGGGAATATATCTTTAATTTTTTTTAATATAAGAAAATGGGCCAGCTGATTGATCCGATCCATCATAATGATATATTAACTTGTAGTATTTTATTCAAGCTTGTGGGAATGTGTGTCCTCAGTGGGAAGAGGCTTGTATGATCTTCCACAAGAGTACCTATTAGAATTGTAGTCTCTTGCTTTCTTTTACTTCCCATCTATGCTGTTTTCTTTCTTTACATGATACAGGACAACAGAAATAACTGTTCTGGTTCTAAAAACTGGCAGATAGGCCAGTGCGTTTGGTCTTCTTGCCAAGATGGAGACTCCTTACCTTTAGGGAGAGACAGTTGATAACTATGGTCTCTCCAGGATTCAGTAAAATTATGGACATAACTGAGGAGCTGGATTTTTAGTGGACACTAAAATGTTTTGGAGCTTATTAACCAATGTACTTTTTTTTCTTTTATAATTTCTAGATCTGGATATCAAGTCATCAGGGTCTGGCTGTGTAAAAGTCCAAAATATTGAGTGTGATCATTGTAAAATTGAAACTGAGCAGGGAACCAGCACCTTACAATCTGTTAAGGTATTAGCATTTTCTAATTTTGTTTCAGTGTTATTATTTTAAAAAATTCTCAAACTATGAACTACAGTATAAACTAAAGAGATTATTCTATTTTCAGATAATTTATTCACCTTAGAAATTCCTTTCAAAACTTTTGCCTTCAACTTTGAAGGTTTCACCTCGTATTTCTTTTAGACTTCATTTCAAAGTATACAGTGAAACTATTCTTAGTATTCTAAGATCCTATTAAAATTTTTAGTTTCCATAAATGATTTTATTCTGATTATTAAAGAGTAAGGAAAAGTTTTATGAATTATAAATGCACTTAATATATTAGGTTACTTCAGACTGGCCCTGTAACTTAGCAGTTAAGAGAGCCAGCTTGGACATGGCTAACTGCAATTTGAATACTGGCTCTGACCACTCAAAAAGCACGTGGCCATGTGTGCATGTGAGTGCTCCAAATCCCAACAGAGAGGAAAACAGGAGGAGAAGGGATTGTAATGTCACCACAGTCCACTGTGGAAACTTCCTCCATCTCTCTCTGGCAAAAGCATGCCAAAAATAAATAAATAAAAGTACTATTGGGTACATATAATATGTCATGACTTTTCTGGCAATCCAATAGGTTACTTCAGTCACATTTTTAATGTGGCAAGTTCCTCATTACTTAACATCTCCCTTAGACCTAGTAGTTTTTAAAGAAAATAAAGGTTTATTTGCAAAACTCACAATTTAGGTGACTAGAAAGTCCAAAATCATTATGAAATGGTGGAAAGCAGAACTTTTAGCAGAGCAGAGCGTGGTCTGTATCCATAGGTTTCACTTTCCCTGGTCTCTTTTCTTCTGCATATAAACTCACCAGAACCCAATCATAGAGACCCCTGTCCTAATGACCTCCTCTCACCCAAAGACCCTACCTTAGGACACCATGAAGGGATTGAATTTTCCCTTAATACCTTTACAGTACAATCAAGTCCCAACATTTGAATTTTATGGGATATCCAATCACTGCCCTCTAAGATCAAATTATAAAACATGAAACTTAGCGTGACAAACCATTATTCAGACCATAAAAGGACTAAGTAACAATTTGTCCAATGTAACAAATGAATCTTCTTTTTTTTTTTTTTTTTAGGTTTTTGCCATAGAGCCTGTAAGCTTACAGGAGAGAGACAGAGTGACACACACAGAGAGAGAAGGTGAGAAATCACTCCATAGGGGCTATGACCACACCACAGTCTCTTCTCCATTTTCCTCCCAGACTTGTTGGACACACACATACACATGCTTGGCATGCTTTTCAAGCTTCCCAGTCTGAGATTTGAACTATGGTCAACCATGTGGGAGTCCAACACTGTAACCACCATGCCACCTGCTGGCCCCAGTTCATCTTGTTTTATAATTAACATTTTTATATTTAATTTTCTTTAAATTAGCTTGGTATCAGCTATAAATCATTTGAAATACATCTCTGACAGGTTCACAGCTTACTGTTGCTACTAGTACTTCTTGTACTTTCACAGTAAAAATGTAATACTATATAAACTTTTAAAGCATGCAGTTTTGTTGAAGTCAATAATCTTCACTTCATAATTGTAAAACATTTTCATTTTAAAATTTACAATAGTAATTAGAATGTTAATGTGATGCACTTTTTATTTTTATATTATTTGTTTTCTTTTTTTTTTTTTTTTTTTTTTTTTTTTTTGAGAGGTTTTTGCTATAGGGCACGTGCACTCACCAGAAAGACTGAGAGAGACAGAGAGGTAGAAAGTGAGAAATCACCCCCCAGGGGAGATGGCCACACCGCAATCCCTTCTCCTCCATTTTCCTCTTGGGATCTTGGGCACGCACGCACACGCGCCCGGCGTGAGTTTAAGCCACCAGGTCCAGGACTCAAACCACGATCGATTACATGGGAGTTCAGCGACATAGCCATTACACTAACAGCTGGTACTGGTTTTATATAATTTTCTAAGTTTTCTTATCTACTTCACATTTTGGGGGAACTAGATATACTTTAAGTTGTAATGATAGTGCTTGATGTTTTTGAGCCTTAGATCACTTAGAAAATCTGATAATTGTTTCCTTAGAATAAAATGCTCATATAGATGAAATTTTGCTTATATTCTTGTAAGTTTCACATACTCTTTAGAAACTCATGCAAATATGGTTAAGAATTCTTAAAGCAACAGTTGCTTACAGAGTGTTTCTTAAAGTTTATCAATTTGCCTGATAAATAATATATTAAATACAATTCGACTTCAGAATCATGTCTCTATGGGCACTAAGTAATTTGCCATGATATAATAGAAATATTTTAAAGAGTGATTCATTTTTCCCTTTACATTGAATTTTTTGATACTTATATCTGTGCTACTTTACCTAAAGTTTTACTGTTTTTCCCTGGTAAGTAAAGGAACCAGAAGTTATATGGTTGTTTTGAATTTTTGTTTCCCTACGTTTCAGATGTTTCTTTGCAGTTACTAGGTATGATATTGATGAATTTGCTTTTGCTATTGTTCTTTCTGCAGTTCCTGCTAGATACCTATTCATTATCGCATTATATTTGTAACAGAATTGAAAATGTAAAGTAATAGTTAAGAGAAAGTAATCTTAAAAAAGAGACTAGGCCCAGCCATGGTGGTGTACTGCTAAGACTATGTTGTACAAGCCAGAACCACATGGGAAGCCTGGGTTCAATTCCTGGTCTAATCTAAAGGCCAGTAGCAATGGCATGTTACTGTAGTCCCAGCTGGTAAGCTGAGTACAAGAACATAACAAGATCCTGTATTTAAAAAAAAACAGAAACAAAAACCAAGCAACATCTAATGACTCAGCTACAATTATAGCTTATTTTTCACTTGCGTACAAGTGTGTGGGTGGTTCTTTTTTACTCATGATTCTAGTTTCCCTCTCTCTTTTGACTCCACCACCTCTGAAAGGCTTATAATCAACACTCACCCAGCTGAAGGAGAAGAGCACAGAGAAGGCACACTTATTGGTCTAAAATCACCAGCCTGAAAATGGCACTTAACATTTCCACTTATATCAGATTGATAAGAACTTAGCAATACCCAAGAGGTAAGAGAAGGCAGAAGACATGGTTTTGCTGTGAGTCCAGCTATACTGCTTTTACTGTGGAAAGCAAAAGATTTTGTCAGGCTAGTTGTGGCATCTCTCATAATTATAAAGTGTGAAATCAAGTCACACACACACACACACACGCACACACATACTTTGTCTGGTAGAGGTGGCTGACTGGCGTATGACAGTGTTTTTATTAGTGCTTAAAGGCATTTTTTCTTAGCTGTAGTTTCTGAGATATGTTGTGTTAAAAGGTTTAGCAGTTAGTTTTTACTCTACATGTGATCTGTCTTCCTTCAGACCATTCCAGCCTTAGGAGTGTGGGCTTTAGAATCATGCACAGCTTGATTCTAATTGTTAGTTTAGATTTTGTTGTTTTCTTTGTCATTTAGATAAATTATTTAATTTTCCTGAGTCTTGGGTTTTTTCCCTCTGTAAAACAGGAAAAATATAATACCTAGCTCTCTTGGTTGTTTTGAAGATTAAATGATAGCTCACATAAAATAAGTAATACTGTGTGTGGTATAGAGAAAATGCCAAGTGCTAACATTTTTTTAATATGACAGAGCGCATGTGTATGTCAGAGAGAGAAGGAAAAAGAAAGAGCCCCTCAGTGGGGCCTGGTTACACTCAATCCCCTTTCCTTTCTTCCTCCATCTCATCAGGATCCTGGGTACACATGCACTTGTGCCCAGTGTGTTTTTCAAGCCACCAAGGCTAGGCCCCTCTAACCCTCAACAGAACGCTAAACCACTATTCTATGGGGCTGGCCCAAATAACTATTACTGTTATTAATAATGATGAATATTCATAATAATGACTAGTAACAATGATTATTGTTGTCATCCGCTTCATCATTGATATTTAGCCAACCAGTCACAGATTCTCAAATCTTTTTTAAGTGAAGCTACTGGAACACTCAAGTATCTCTTTTTCCCCTTGAGTCCCAGTGGCTTATTTCTTTAAAAGCAGTTAATGTTTTTTGTTTTTTTTTTAAATTTTTTTCCAGTTGATATTCTTATTCTAAACAGTGAATTTCTATTTCATTCCTGATTTATTTGCTGTTTCATTATTTAAAAAGTAATGTTCAAAAATCTTTCATTAGTATAAGTCAAACTTATTTTATATATACTTTTGTGTTTGTCTTTCAGAGTCAAAAATTACATATTCAGACAAAAGGAGGCAAAGTGATCTGTCTGGGAACAGTTTATGGAAATATAGATATTCATGGATCAGATAAAAGTGTAAGATTGAAACTTCTTTGTTTTGTAATTGCAATTCTGCTTCCAGTCGGCTCACACAGTGCGTAGGTTCCACAGCATTTGTGGTGTACATTGCCTTTTTAATGTATTTCAGTTTAGTAGTAAGTTCCAATGTGAAATTGAGGTGATTAAATATCATAAAATTAAAATTTTAGCCTGTGGTTTAATACTTTTGACAATTATTTACTTCTTTCTCTGTAATAATAAAAACTTAAGTGCTTAATATTTAATTCTAGTTCTGAAGATATTTTTATGATGATGGATTAAAATAGATCATTAAATAATACCACCAGTATTTGGATTGGATTTTCTTAATGTGTTAGGTTTATTTGAGTATTTTCTGAAACTTATTTACTTTGCATTTAGGCAAATTGAAGTTTTTGAAATTCAACTTTCTTCGGTATTTTCCACAAGGTGGCACCATTAGATAGTTAAACAGATCTCCAAAACCTTTTTTTTACTATCAACAGCAATTTTTGGTTGTTATAGGAAGATAGTTTGTGTTTTTTAATCAACTTCTTTTGTTGCTTTTTATAAATTAACATAGAATTAAGAGTAAAGGTATAATTTTGTTAGTATAGTCAGGATTTATTTTTTTTAATGTGATCAGTAATGTTTTAAATCTTTGACAAAAATTGAAATGTCCTCATATTTTACACTAAATAATTTACAAAGGTCTTTTGTTAATAATTTGTTAAATTCCATAGTCAACTTTATTCTCATATAATTGATGGGGAGAAGTTGTGAGCATACATTGTAGGTATATTATTGTTGTTGTAATTAAACCAGGTAGATTCTAACACTGTTTCCACTATTACCATTTTTATTTTCCATCACCTTTCTCTTAGAACATGTGGGAGGCTATGTAAGTTCCCACATTTAAATATACCCTTCATAGTATAGGAACGAGTTGAAAGACTCTGGATGGCTGTATTTGGCAGACTTTTGAGATAGCATTTAATTTCACCTCTTAGATTGCTGTGGTCTTGGAGATGACAAGAGGGAAATCGACAGTTTTACAGCCCCTTAAACTCAGTCCTTTATTTATTTGTTAAGTTAGTTTTTGCTATAGGGGACATGTGCTCCCTGGAGAGAGACAAAGACAGGGAAAATGAGAAATCACCTTCTGGGGAGATGGTCATGGTGCAATCCCATCTCCTCTATTCTTTTCCAGGATTTTGGGCGTGCATGCTCACGCACTTGGCATGATTTTCAAGCTGCTGGTCTGGACTTGAGCAGTGATCGGTCATCTAGGAGTCCAACGCCTTAATTAGCGGCCCCTGCTGGCCCCACTCAGTCCTTTAAATTATGGCTAGTGTTATTTGAAATAATCTAAGTGACCAGAATGTACATATTTTAATTAAAAAAAAATTTTGAGACATTTTTGCCATAGAGCATGTGCGCTCACCAGAGAGACAGAGAAAGAGAGATAAAAAGTGAGAAATTACCCCGACAGGGGATGGTCATGCTGCAATCCCTTCTCCTCTGTTCTTCTCTCAGGATTTTGGGCACATATGCACACGCACCTGGTGTGAGTTATAAGCCATTGGATCCAGGTCCACTATGTGGGAGTCCAGCGATGTAACCATTACACCATCTCTGGTCCGCATATTTATACTTAAATACAAGTATTAAAGAATTTAAATGATCTCTCATGTATTTGCAATTTTGACTATTTTGGGCACTGTTTCCACTCATTGGTTATTTGTTCCAACTTTGATGGTTTATTGAATATTCATTTATTCCTACTTCCCATATGCTATTTTGTTTCTTGCCTGATTGAGTCTTTTTTTTTTTTTTTTTTGGAGAGATTTTTGCTAGAGGGCGCGTGCGCTCGCCAGCCAGACAGAGAGAGACATAGAGACAGAAAGTGAGAAATCACCCCCCAGGGGGGATGGTCACGCAGCAATCCCTTCTCCTCCATTCTCCTCTCGGGATCTTGGGCACGCACACACATGCACCCGGCGTGAGTTTTAAGCCACCGGGTCCGGGAAGCGAACCGTGGTCAACTACGTGGGAGTCCAGTGACATAGCCATTACGCTAACTGCTGGTTCCCTTGCCTGATTAAGTTTTGCACTGAAGAATCACTGTAGATTTAAAAAAAAATTTATTACATATAGTGTTAATTGTTAAAGTATATTCTAAGTTTGTGACTTTTAAAAAAACATAAATACTGGGACCAGCAGGTGCTGTGGTAGTAAGGCCCTGGACTCCCACATGGAGTCCCAGACCTGGCTTCTCCTACTAACAAGATTTTGAGAATCAAATGAACACTATAGCAACAGCATTGCTATTTACCTGACTGTTTCTAAACTGTATCATTAATTTCAGTACCCTATGCTTAGTTTCTTTTCTTTTTTTAATTCTTTGGGGTACGTGTGCTCACCAGAGAGAGACAAAGAGAGAGAAAGTGAGAAAGCACCTCCCAGAGGATGGCCATACTGTAATCCCTTCTCTATTTTCCTCTTGGGATTTTAGGCATGTACACACGTGACCGGTGTGTTTTTCAAGCTGTCACTCTGGGATTCAAACCTTGTAGTTGGCCATATTGGATGCAGTCACCCTGACCATCATACTATGCCTGGCCCCCTATGTTTAGTTTTATAAGTTAACAGAGAATATAGAGATCTATGTCATCTAACAATTGGGTTAGATGGGTGAATTGATGAGATAGTGTTACAGTCATCAATTTTTCTCTTTTTCAGTCTAAGCTGCAAAGTCATAGTACTTCCCTTAATACTTGTTTTTCAGTATTTGTAATAAACTGAACTTATGAAAACACTTTATTTTAGTCTCATGTAGAAAAGCAAGTTAATTTATACCTCTTTCAAGAAGGTGTTAATTTTGGGATCTACTTTTTTTTTCTTTAAATAGCTACTTTTGTTAATAAACTCACTATTCTGTTTGATCTAGAGTCTATCTGTGATACTTTTTTAGTATTACATTAGCATTAAAGACTAAAAATCAGAGTTTCAATATTGTACTGTAAACGATGGTACTCTAAATTGAACGATAGTAGTTAGTATCTGATATGGTGCATATGTGGCCCTCAGTGCATTTCAAATTTCTTTGAAATCAATTTTGTATAATGAATGATTGGTTAAAATAACTGTATTGTATTGGGGGTGGGGTGGGTGTTGTAGTTTCACTGGCTTTCATTTGGTTTGGTGGCACGGGAAAGGATATTTTTCTCATTTTCTAGAGAGCAAAATAGTTGGTGTTTAAAAAACAAAGTAAATTCTTTGCATTGTTAAGGTATTCATAAAAACGTGTCTTGAAGGCTTTATTTGGTTGAGAAGAGTCTAATCAGAAGTGTCCCTTTGCCAGTTTAATTTCCAAATATTTTTTCAGTACTTATCTTTTGGTGTTTCTTAAAACAGCCTTACTATCTATAAAAAAGTGCAATATTCTTAATTTGTTGCCTGTTTTTTGAAAATATTTGGAGAATTTGGAACTATCCACAAAAAACAAATTTTTATGAAAAAACTTTGTAGTTAAAGGAAAATATTTTTTTCAAGACCTTTATACCTTTATTATAAAGCTGAGAAAGCCAAAAAATTTGTATGCTCATAAATCTGAATATAGGTAAAATATCTTTTTGATAGATTTATTGCAACTAGATTTAAAGTAAAAATTTTATGCATCCATAATTAGCATAAAAGAAACTATAGTAGATAAGAAGCAAATGGGTGTATATTACATACTTAATAAAATCTATTTAAAAAGGAAATTATATACTTCAAATTTAAAAGGGAAAGTAATTCTAATTTGTTTCCTGTAAGAACTTCTGGGTATAATTTTTTTCACTTTTTGTACTTTTGTCTTCTAATATTTTAGTATTCTTGAAACTCAGTACTCATTAGATAACATTTTGAACTCTAAACAGTTTCTGAAGGCATATTAGGAATAGTTGACACTGACACCAGTGTGTTAAAAATGTAATGCTATTTCTTTAAACATCACAGAGTACTTTTTGAAGTTGTCCCTGGTAAAAAGAAAGCCTTCCTGGTGATTCAGTTTTCATGTCAACAGTTTTATATTCGTACTCACTTAATGCTTTAAAAAATATTTTAAAAAATATTATGGGGATGATCTGGAATCATTAACTAGATATCTTCATTAACATTGTGAGCAATATTTGAGACATAAATATATACTGATTTTTGTTAGAGAATGTTAAAGATAAATATAAAACTCCTTCCATTTTATTCAATGGAAAGCTACTGCCTTATTAAATATAAAGTACAAAAGTTCTGGATTCATTAACATAGCGAGGGAGCAAAAATCAAGTTCAATAGAATCACATGAAGTATGTGCAAAAATTCAAGGCCCACTCATGATTTAAAAGCAACAACAATAAATCAAATTTGATATAGAAAGGAAATTTCTTAATTTGAAAAGATATTTAAAAGATATCTTTAATAAGCATCATGCTCAACTGTGAAATGGTAGAAGCTTTCCCCTGAAGAACAGGAATAAGATAAAGATATCTCATGGATTTTATTAGCAGTTATTCACTGCTGGAATGGGAGGTCTGAGCCAGATGATGAGGCCAAAAGAGAGAGAAAGAAGGGAAGAAAGAGAAAAAAGGAGAGAAAAAGAAAAGAAAGAGCAGGGAAAATGAATATAAGGAGTGGAAGGGAGGAAATGAAATGTGAAACTATAATTTGTAGACAATATAATTATGCATTTGGAATTTCTCTTAAGTACAGGTAAATGATTGGAATTAGTGAGGATGCTGGATTGTGATCAAGTACAAAAGTCAATTAGGATAAAATAGAATTTAAAAAGGTATCTTGTATAACAGCAGCTGAAAATATCCAATAGAAAAAAATCTAACAAAAGATGATGATGAATTCTGCAGAGATAATATGAAATGTTATTAAGAGATTTTTTAAAAAAAGGGATATATTGGGTCTATTTCACATTCTCCAGATGCATTGTTGCTCACAATCTTGTCATTAGAAGTAGGGAATCAGAATAAAGTGATTGTGTGCCAAGTAGTAATTTTTTATGCATTACTCACTAATTGCATAGGTACTACTTTTACTTTTTACAGTCTTTGTTTTATTGTGAATTGATTAGAGTCTTTCTCTTACTAGACTGTGACTGTAGATAAACTGCAGGGAAGTTCCGTTAATTTATCTACTGAAGATGGTTTGCTGGAAGCCAAGTATCTTTATACAGAATCATCATTTTTATCTTCTGCTTCTGGAGATATTACATTAGGAAGTGTTCATGGTAAGCTGACAATGCCCTAATACATCTCAGACTTTCCACATAGTGTAAATTCTGTTGTTGAAGAAGGATCAGGAATGGCCTTCTAATAATCCATTACAGGCTAACCATGTTTTAGAACAATCAGAAAATAAAATGATTCATAAGCTAGTTTATTTTATTTTGGCAAGAGATGGAAGATTAGCTATATGAAACTAGTAGTATTTCTGATTTTTAATGCTTTTCCTTATAACAGGAAATGAACAACAAGGAAGGATGTACAGGAGATGAAATAAAAGCAGTGTTAGATAAAAGGTTCTCAGTGGTTGCTTTTATGTTACGATAGGAAAGTTAAGGGTTAAAATAATACAACATTTGGATGAAGTCTAAATATAGCAACTCAGTGATACTAATCTGGTTAAAATGCTTTGTGTGCATTTATACTGTCTCTAAGCACCCTGTCATTTTTCAATTTTCTCTGATTAATGTCCCCTTGTGATTTCCAAAACATGTCTCTGCAGACAAGTAATATTACTTAATTAATGTCTCTATTATTGAAAGAAAAGAAAAGAGCATAATGGTAAGGTAATAAGGCCAAAGGTATGCTGGTTCACTGTCACTCAGCCTGCTTCTAAAGTTTCTTCAGAGCAGATGATTCAAATCAGGTATGTTGCCTGAAATATATTGGGGCATTGGAAAAGTCATAATGCGTCTTTGCATAGAAAAACACATCATGACTTTTCCAGTGCCCCAATATACATGTATGCATTAAGAATCATGTATCATGGCAAAAAGTATAGTATACACATCTGCTTAAATACCTTTTGAGCCGTATTCCAAGAGGTGTAGACTTGAACTTGTCCCATTGTGTAATCCACTCATTTCACTTCTGTAGTAAAATCATATATTATTGGTTTCTGTTACACTTCAGCAAAATCCCCTTATATTAGTAATTCGCACTATTATTAATTAGGTGGTAAAGAAAGTATGGTTAGTGCTAAACATGCTGCATAGCAAATTAGCAGGTAGCTTTCTAGTTAAAAAATAAAAATAAAAAAATGGGTACTTGAAATAATTTTTGAACCTCAATAGTTAAACTTCAGTCATTCTTATAAGATTATGTATTATTTGAGCTCATACAAACTTGAGTACAGTGGAGCTATTTCCAGATAAAACAAAGGGTTTTGTTATTTATTCATTTATTTACTTTTTATTCAGTCAAGCACTACATTGTTCAGGTAATTTGTAAGTCTTCGTATTTGAAAAGTGACCTTCTGGGGCCAGCAGGTGGCATGGTAGTTGAGGCAGCTAGACTCCCACAAGACTGCATTTAAAGCCTCAGACTTGGCAGCTTGCTTTCTCACTTTCCTTCTCTCTCTCTGGTCAACTTTAAAAAAAATAAAGAAAAAAAGGTAAAATAAAGTAACAATAATGAATAAAATAAAATAATGATTTTTTTTAAAGTGACCTTTTAAAAGTATTACATTTCTAACTATTTCATAATTTAAAACACTATACTTGGGAACAGCAGATGGCGTAATGGTTACGTCTCTGGACTCCCACATAGTTGACCCAAAATCTCAAGAGGAGAATGGAGGAGAAGGGACAGCAGCATGGTCATGCCTCCTGGGGGATGATTTCTGGCTTTCTTTCTCTCTGTCTCTCTGGCAAGCTCATGTTCCCTACAGCAAAATTCTCTCTCAAAAAACAAAAACAAAAACAAAACTGTATTTAATATATTGAGGAGCTTTTAGTGGAAAAACAATTCCCTATTAAGTCAGATGTTGATTAATGGCCATGTGAAAAAACAGCTCTGTTCTCTGAAGTGCTTTACACCATGCTTACGCTAAATTCATTAATATATAGTTTCTTTGCTTTTTTAAAAGTTAGATAGGAATTGTATTTGGTAAAGTTTATCATTAATTGCATACATAATAATAAAATAGGTGTACTTTTTTTGAGACAGTTCTCAAAGTATTCTAGGTTTGTCAATTACTTAAAATTGCTGAAATGTAAACAGATTGCTAGAGATAAGAGTTCATTGCTTAGCCTTTGTAAAGCCTTTTAATATTTGCTGACCTTTAATATGAAGTCAAATACCTTTCCCTGGGTGGTTCAAACCTAGGTCTGCTTTTGGACTATTGTCTGAGGCTGGGTTTCCCTGAATGCAGACACTTGAGATGGAAATGAGAGTGCAGCAAATTTACTAGGGAGGCCTCCTGGAACCAATGCCATGCACAAGATGGAAGCCCAATTTCCATGGGAAAAGTTGGACTTTACTGAACCTATAGTAACCCCAAGTGGGAGCTCTGAAGCTGGGTTGTCCCTCAGGATATGGGACTAAATCTCAAATTGGGATAGGGAAGCTGGACCTTTTCATTTAATACCCCCAATCATGGGGTCAGCAGATGGCATGGTGGTTAGGTGCGCTGGACCCCCAATGGGCAACCATGGTTCAAGTCCTGGACCTGGTGGCTTACTTTCTCTCTCTCTCTCACTCTTCTCCTC